ACCATAAACATTTCATATTTCCCAGTTTACTCCAGATTATCTGAGCAGTGAAAATGAATCTCTTGTGTCAAAAATCGAAAAACAAACCTTATCCAAAACTTTCATATTACAATAAATTTTTTTAAAAAATTGCTTCCAATATCATGTCAAAAATGCTAATAAAAAAACACTAAATAAAGCTTGGAGAAAAACACATTATTGTACACTTTTTAAATTCCTACTTCATAATCATTCAACAACATAATCATTGTTAAAGGTCTTAAAATTCATTTATAATTTTTGTCTAATTGAAAGTATATTTCATGTAGACCCAGCAATCTTAAGATTACTGACAATGCTATCAGGTAAATATATTTAGATGTATGGTACGTCATGCATTCTTAAGATTAATGACAATGCTATCAAGTAAATATATTTAGGTTTCAAGAATGAAATATTGTTAAACGTATTTCAAGAAAAAAAATTATTCACCATACGATTTCATTTACCATTTACATGTAAAATGCTTTATGCAGCATCTTAACTTGTTTCTGAATGATATATTTTCTTTATGTCTGACTAAATTTTTACTAATAAAAATCTTAATGTCACTTATCCTCTTTTCCGTAAAGCAAGGTGAAAAAAAAAATCCACTCATACATAATTAGGAGTAAACTGTATTTTAACCTATAAAAATTCATAACTGAAGTTTTATAGTTTTCATTAGTTTCAATCAGTTAATATGAAACATTATCAAAAAACACACTCTATCTAGATATTAAAACTCACATCAATCATTTAACTTGCATAGATATACAGGTAAAGAATTAAAAGATATTACAATAAAACAAAACCTGTAATAAAATAGCAGTTAAAAAAATCCCAACACCAAATAAGCTTCAAACAGATAATGGTATACATAATATACTAAAGTCAAACTAATTAGCTAATCCCATCAAAAACATACCTAATCCCAAACAATTTTCTCAACCATCACATAAACACGCTTGATGTCAACCTACATAACATGTAATCCTACAATGCTAAGAAAATTTACTCTACAATGCACAGTTTTGGAATTAATGATAGGGGAGCACGACTTTTTTTTAGGTGAAAACAGCAGTAAAAAAAAGTTAAAAATTCTTGGCTCTTAGAAACTACCATTAATATATGTCACAATTTATTTTCCTATTAAGCACTGATAATTGTTCTTAAATAAATCTCTAAGATTTATCGAACAATTACCAATTTATCTTCACAATTAAATTTCATAATTTTATCAAAATAAAATTAAATTACAACAGGCATCTCAAGTTAAGTCAAAAATAAATTTGCTGTACACAAATTACATTTATTTTTTTAAAAAATCCTACACGAACTTAAAAGATAAAAGAAAGTTCTCGTCAAATATTTTGAGTTTTAATTTGCATGCGTAATATGGAATTTTTCTTTGTTAAAGTCTTATGTTTTATTACAGGATTTATTAAAAGGGGTTTGATAAATTATTAGTTTAATTTAAGCGTTAACTTGAACTAGAGCTACACTAATGGGTTATAGGGAATGGTAAGAAATATTAGAAATAAATAGTTAAATTTTCATTGCAGAAAAAAGTCAATTTTGTTTAAACTTTCATGCACAGTAGGATCAATATAAAACAATACAATAAAAGAACATTTTTGGGACCATTTTATATTACCAATGTTGAAGTAAAAAAAACTTTTACATGAGAAATCTACAACAAATTAGATTTAAGAAGTTTTGTACAATAATTTTTTAACTGTATGCTATAAAATAATTTTTAACCCTAAATATGTTTCTAAGTTTTATTGTAATTTTTAAAAAAGAGAAAATTAAAAACTGATGAAAGAATATATTTTGAACAAATAACAAATTTAGTTACATGCTATTAAAAATTTGTTTCAATATTTCAACAATCTGTTTCTGAATAAAATACAATATAGACACAGAATGCTTTTTTTCTTTTTTAATATCAAATATTAATGCCATGTATTTAAATACTTCAACAACAGGATAAAGTTTCCGATCCATATCTCTATCACTTTCAAACTGCAATAAGCATTTGTCACACTGCATTGGATATACAATCCACTTATTTATAAGCTATTTCATAACTTATATTTTCAAAAAGCCTACAAAAATTTCATTGACTTGTAACTATTATCCTCTTTACATTTAAAAACTGCTTGATACAATAAAGTATTAACATATAATGCACAAATAAAACACTTAAAATTAGGATTTTATCCTAGTCCATTTTAATCATTTTTTATATAAGAGGTATTAAAAAAAGGTATAGTAAATAAGGCAAGGTAAATAAAGATTTAAAAAATTCCAATAATTGACGATATTTCTATATCAGTACTTGTTTGCACCCACTAAAATCGTCAGGTGTAACTGCCTAGTTGACGTACAATTAATTTTTAAAAATTTATAGTGGCTTGCAGGAGATGGCTTTGAGTTTTACTTTTCAAGTTTGCCCAATTCTGAAATTTTTTATTAGTTTCTTGTAGGCTACTGCCTAGTGCCACCAAAAAAATTGGCAATTATTTTGCTACAGGTACTGATACAAAAAATTTTCCAAACAGTTAAATGATTTTTTGCTAACTTTTAAACATAAACTCTGTTAAGAAATAAGTAAAATGAAAATTGATTTACAGTATAAAAATAATAACACTTTCTTATTTTGTCAAACTGGATAAGTTTTTGTCAACTGTAATGAAATTAAAATTTTCAGTAATTTTTTTTGTCCAATAATTTGAACTAAATAAATAGATAACAACTTTTTATAATAGTTTAAAACCTGCTTTTAAATGAAAAAACAAAGAAACATCATAAAAAAGAAACAGAATGTAAATAAAAACATGTACTGAGAAATAGAAAGCCATCTCATAACATTGAAATCATAGCTTTTAACAATTATCTGGTCATATAAATGTTGAGAACATTTCTGTTACATTGAGTGCATTTTTCAAAGGATAATTATTATGAAAAAACAATAATAAATGTAATTTTTCAAAATGGTGGGCAAAACTGGAAATTACAGGTTCTTCTGCAAATATTGAAATTATTATATTACAGCAGAGTTCTCCCTAGGAGGGAACAAAAAAACAGGGTGCTACCTCTCGAAAAAGGGTATAAGTTTGAAAAGGCATTAATTCATCATCTTAAAAATATATGAAAATGTGTAATATTATGTGCTGAATTTGATCTACAAAAATTTTTAAATTACGCTTGTGTACTATTTTATGACTATTTACTTTAAAAAATGATTCTCTCTCATAATCAGAATAAGTGAAAAATTTGTAGTTAATAAAAATAATTAAAAGACACCTCTGAACATTAATTTAAAAAAAAAAATAATTATTAATTGAAAAATTTGAAAGGTTTTTATTTAATTTAAACTGAAAATCATAAGAAAATAAACATTTAAAGTTGCATTTTTTTTTCAAATTATTTATTTAAAAAAATTACTTCAAAAATCAAAACTATTACAAAATTTATTAATATCCCCCCCACCCCAAAAAAAGAGATACTTATAAAAATTTAATGAGTTGAGAATAATCCTAACAAAGTAAATATTTGTAATAGTAATCAGAATCAAACCTATAAATACAGATAATTTTACCAGGGTGAAATTATTATTTAATCAGTGAATTAATTTTTTTGAAAATGTAATATGTATTAATAAAAAGCTGTATTTCTAAGTAATAGCAAGCTCATTTTTACATAAAAGACAAAGAGGGTGCATTTATAGGGATCAAAGGACAGGCAGGAAAGACCGTCCTTCAGTAGGCAGGGAGAATACTGTATTACAGTATGGGTTATTGTAAACTTAAATCTTAAAACATTAAAAAAAAGTAAGTTTTCTTATAATAAAGTCCAGAATAAAGTTGAAATTTATTATAAAAAAACTGTCATTCCCTATTAACAGAATAAGGGTCAAATATATCAGTTTTAATTTAAAATGATTTGATATTTTTTTGGATAACAGTATCAGTATTCCAGCCATAACAATTTAGGGTCACATATTACATTATACAAAATGGCCTTCTTAACATCCAAAAAGAGAATCTGTATTGACATACCCAGAAAATAGTATGGATTAATTGCCACATAATTTAAATTTTAAAAAAGTAAAATTTCAATGCAGGTAATGAAAATTTAGCAAAACTCAAATAAAACCCTCCACATATCTGCACTTAACCCATTGATGGTTCTGCACATAAAAAGTCGTAATTTAACCTATAGTCATCTCTGGATAGCAAAACGGTTTTTCCATGTTATTAGATAGAGAAAGAGTCTCCTAATTTTGTCCATTTGCTAAACTGTCAGTAGGTTAAATTATAAAAAGCCATCTTAATTTGAAAACTAAAATAGTATAAATTAATAATTCAATCTAATTTATATAATTCATTGTTCAAAATTAATCGTGGCTTATTGAAACCAAGAATCTGAGTTCGACCACCATTAAATAATAGTAATTGATCTACAGTCGAACAGTGCATAAATTCCAGTGCTATTTTGTTTCGAAAATAACTACATTAAAAGAAATGAGTCTAACTATTAATGATACTTAATTGTGGTATTAGGTACTGAATGAAATAATAGAGGCACTTCATCAATACATATGTCAAGGTTTCCGAAATAGAATAGTACAGGATTTCTTGATACAGTTTCTTTTTTCTCTGAATAATATCAGTATTAATTCTTTGTGTCTTGTTTTAAACTTAAAACTTTCATTAGATCACCAATTTATTCAATTAGATCACTAATTTATTCTAATTGTTTTAATTAACTTCAAAATATTTTTTAAAAATTTAATACACACTCAAGAACATACCACTAAAAGCCAGTCAGAACTAATAAAAATTTTAGTTATTGGTCCTTTGCACCAGTGAAATTTTCTCAGTATTATTTACAGGAAGAATTTCAAAAATTTGCAAAACTTTGGCAAAAAGAGCTATGTCAGTATAACATTTATCTGCTTTTTAATTATAAAATACTCTTTAAAATAACTCGAAAAGAAAAATAATAAAATTATAAATAATAATTTAATATAACTATTTGTGCACAATTTATTACTCCTCAAATTTATAAATTTTTATTTATATACAACCACTTTAAGAGGAAATAAATTCACAACCAATTTTTTTTATCTCACTTCCTGAAATTTTCCATGTTCAAAAATACGACGGCCTAGTGTAGAAAATATGAAGTCGTCAGCTGGACAAATAGCTGATTTTTTAGGCTTTAAAATAATACCAGATAGTTGGGGTGGGTTGAAAAGGCGTTCACAAATTTGTTTCTGTATACTTAATACTTTAAGAACTGCAGGCTGGTCTTTCTTCGGTTTACAAGACAAAGCTTTTGAAAATAAACTTGGCTTAGATTTAGTTCTCTTACTTTTCAGAAGTGGCGAATATATTTCATTTGTTTCTTGCATTAATAGGGGCGGAGAAGAACGTAAGGGAGATAGATCAGAATTTGCATCTATAATAATTTCCTCTTTTGTAATATTTAGACTTTTCAGGGGTGAACTTGAAAGCTTATCAGATTTTAAGCATGAAGTCAAATCAATCTCTATGCTTCCATCAGTTTCATCTTCAGAAGATTCATCATTATGAAAGTATTTTTCAGCAAATAATGCAACTAAATCACAAAAAAGGAAAAATCAATAAAAGCACACAATCAATAAATTATAATATACCAAAGCACAATTTAAATTATCATCTGTAAATCTAAATCAAATTTTTAATAATTAATTTACAAATAAAAACACTAATACAACAGCAGGAATTTCAACAGTTCTGATAAATCAAGATAGTGCTTTCTTTAATTGAGAGAATTGATATGTCTATCAAAACAAGTAAATGACCCCAGGGCTCGAAAAAACTCAGAAATTTTACCCGTCCCCGAGGACGGCTTGTCCAACAATGTACCCGTCCTCCTGTGAAACTAACCCGTCGCTTCTAAATAAATAAAAATATAATTTCTCTTATTTATTACAAACATTAATATAAATTGCGCAATGAATTAGTAGTTACTAGGATTACATTATACAGTAATAAAAGAAATGCTAGGTTACTAATAGTAACATAGTATCTCTTTTATGAAATAATTTAAATGACATGGGGAATATAAATTTATCCGAGGATACTGCGTTTTTTAAATGAATAAAATAATGATGTTTGCCAGTTCCACAATCAAGTCAATGATTTACAGAGGTTTCTGCACAGAAATCTGAAAGGGGTTTTCCATTTAGGTAGATGCTCATACTTGCTTAAGACCAGTACGTAATGTTTTTTTTTTAATTTTTTTTATTTATTTTTTATTTTTTGTAAGTTCATTGCTGAGAAGCCCCTTTCAACTTCTGACAACGGATTCGAGACAAACCGCGGACAACGGATTCGAGAAATTCGTTGTCCGCGGTGAATTTTTGACCGCCGAGGACGGGTGGTTTTTCGAGCCCTGAATGACCCTGTTAAAGTTTCATAGATTATGGCTTTGTTAATTCAATACAATCATCACTTAGACTTATAAGTAAATTATAAAGTAGAGAAATTTACTATAGACCTAAAATACAAACTTTAATAAAAAAAATGTTCCTCCAATTTTAAAATTTGTAAAAGGGTTCAATATTTCTTTAATTATTACTATTTTTTTTTATAATTTTGGGAAACAAACACAGCTTTTACATCTGCTAATATATTAACTTCGTAGGTAACAAAAATTTTTGCCAAAAATTAGTTAGTAAACGGTCTCTATCCTCTATTCGCAATTTTGATAATTCTGTGATAATTGGAATCTTTATATAAACTCTCTTTAAATAAAACCTTTTAAATTGAGAAATTTACATCATATGAGATAAATTTAATAGTATGTTAAAAATATTAGATAAGTAAAAGGCCTCAAAATTCATACTTTATTAAAATATCCAATTATTAATAAAATTAAGATTTATTTTTATTTTTTCTGTTTAGCTTTTGTATCTTTGTTTTTATAAAAAAACTGCATTGTTAAAAAGTGTTTCTGATAGATATTATTTCTTTTAATGCTTTATGGATAATTTTTTTCCAGAAAATATTATTTTTAGCATTAAAGTTTTGTTTCAGGAATATTTTAGGAACTCTACAAATGTAATTTTTTTTTTTTTTAATAGCTGTTAGTTAGTTTGTTTTTACCTAAAATATATAAAATTATCTTAAATCTTAATATCTAATTATCTTAAACATTTCTATTAAAGTATTTTTTCCCTTTACCCCTAACCAATAATACAGATAAGTTTCGATTATTTTTCAAAAATGTCGAAACTTATTTCTATATAAAAAATAATATCTATTATGTTTTTTTTTTATTTGCTACTCGGACACCTAATATTCAGTATTTGGACAAATCACTATTCATTAAATCTCAGTACCAACACTATTAGTTTTCCAGCAACGAAATGGTAATAGACTGGTATGATCAGCATAAAAATTAGTGGATAAGGAAAGCTATAATTTTTCCCAGAGGAATAAAAAAATAACTTTCGAAATACAGCTCGATTCCAGATAAGGGGTGACACAACCAGAAATCTCAACTCAACCATAAAATACAAAGGGATTCATATATATGTAAGGGAAGATTTCCGTATCGTGATCTGTGGCAGAATAATCGCAAAGTCTTGGAGACTTCTGGGCAGTGGCTTGCGAGAAACTAAAAAAAATCACAGAAAGGGACCAACTCGAAAGCTGTAACTCGTAGCCACCCCCGGGCAAACATCTATGTGTTTTTTTTAAAAAAATTTGCAAGTTTAAAATCTATTTGGCATCTTGGCGATCGTAGTTGGTAAGACAGATCACGATACAGAAATATCCCCATAATTAACTCATTGCGCATAACCACTGTTTTTAAAATATTTTTCTTATAACGTGAAGACAGAAATTTTGAGTTTTTTAAATCACACATATCCATTACCTCTTATCGACAGAAATGCTAAAAGATAAAAAAATTAATCTTAATTATCTATCAAATGATCATCTGCTATTAATTTAATTAGTTTTTAACATCTTACACAACTGCAAACAAAATCAAGAAAAAACATGCTTTCACAGTTTATTTCACGTAGATTTGATAGGGTGAAAAATTCTCTGACCATTCAAAGTTTTGGGGTAAAATAATGTTTTTTCCTTGACTTTTTTAAAAATAGAATCTTGTCTTCCTCGATTTTTTTCCGGTATTCCCGATATTCCAGGTGCGTACTAAATATATCTTAATAATAGCTTACTGCACACAAAACATTAAGAATATAAATTAAGAACATTTAATTAGCTTTATTACTTATAATAGAATAAGTTGAAAGCAGATAGTAATAATTTACGCCTTTACCCACGAAGAGTGAAAATTTAGTTAACAAGGAATTAAAAACAGGCAAAAATTGTTACAAAGTTTTCATACCTTCGTTTTCATTTGTGTTGCATTCAGTCTGTGACCTTAAATTATTTAATTCAGACTTTAAGGTAGTATCATTAGTTGTACCATTGAAATATATTTTATCAGGATCATCGAGCTTCTCATTAACAGCTGCAAACAAATCACACATATCAAACAAATCTTGAGTATTTTCATTATCCGAAGGACATAGATTAGTCAATGAAATTTTCTCAGAGTTTAATATATTTTCAGTTAAATCTATATATTCATCTTTTTGAGATATAGGCAAAAAACAATTTGAAGCCTTAGATGATAAGTATTCTTCTGCCAATGATGCCAAAGAAATTTTATTATCCTCAATATCATTAGATTTAGCATCTATTAATTTAGCATTGTTAGAAAATGAAGAATTATTTTTCTCATCGACATTAGTACTTTCAACACAAATAGAAGCTAACAAATCAGATAGGGTTTCATCATTTTCACAAGATGGTATAAGTGAATTATTACACGTTGAAAAATTTTCTAACTTATCCGAGTTACTGTTTTCTGCCTTATTCAAAATACTCGAGTCATCTTCGCAGCTACTTAAAGATAGTGAACTGAACAAATCAGAATAAGTGTTATCGATTTCAGGTGATAAATTATCCAATGAATTAATAAATTTATCAGGAAAAGGATTGCAACAAGTTTTTTCATTTAACAAATCTTTTTGAATGCTTATTGAGTTAACCATTTTAGTGTCAGGTTTACTGCTTATGCCATTAAATAAATCATAAAAACTCAAATCACAATCACTGTAATTTACATTTTTCTGATCTAAACTTTTTAGGGTTTGTATATCTTGCCTTTTAAGATCTGAATTTTTAACATTAAGATCGCCTGGCAACAAATTAAGAAAATCTCCCTCATCATGATCCTTGTTTTTTATAACTGATTTAGTAACCGAATTACGGTCTGCTGATTTTTTAATATTTTGATGCTTAATGTTATTTACATTACTACTTGTTTTATTCCAAAAATCAAACGAATCTGTGGTGTTCAACTGGGTAACTGGTACTGTGATATTATTTGAGTCACCTTCAACGGAAGTTAATCCCAAATTGTGACGATCTTCTTCATCGCTAACAGAAGATAATCCTGAATTTAAACGATCTTGATCATCGCTAACAAAGGATAATCCTGAATTTAAACGATCTTGATCATCGCTAACAGAAGATAATCCTGAATTTAAACGATCTTCTTCATCGCTTCCACTTCCACACCCACTATCACTTTCATTTTTAGTTACTTGAAAACAATTTTCTGTGATTACATTTGGGTCACAACCTGAAATTAAACGATCTTCTTCATCACTAACAGTTCCAAAGAGACTATAACAACCATCGTTTTTCGATGCTTCTGAATTAAAATTGGGAGGAGGTTCTAAACAGTTAGAACTATGTTCTATTTCTCTATCAGAATAGAACTCATCATTAATTGTTTGTTCCAGGTATATAGGAGTAGCACTATAAATTTGAGGCATCGTTGAAAATTTTACATTTACATATCAAAAAGACTAATTTATTTCGCAAATTCATATATTTTCCAAATAGAATAATTTTCCTTTCTGTCCTCTCTATTTACTTTTACAAATATCACAAGTACGTTGTGTATCTGGTGTAGTGTTGCCAAACAGTTTGAAATTATAAGTTAATTTAGAATCGATGGTCACCACCAAAATGCTTAAACTCATCGTTCGTTAAATACTGTTTATCAAAATGAAATATATAAACGCATTAAACTGGAAAAGTTCTAAATCACCATGTAACATTTTATTAAAAGACCTTATGAAATTCGTCACGCAAGGAGACTCATTATGCTCGGGTTTTCCTGAATTCCACGAGCGCATGCGCTAACTGAAAAAGAAAAATTAAACCTTGAAAATTCTCGCAAAACTAAACTGTAAATTTAACATTACGTTACACTAATGTTACGTTATTAACTATTAAAATACAGATTTACTTAACTTTCAAATAGAGAATTCGAATTGTCGCAGAATGTTATTCCGAAATAAAATAAATGAAATAAAAGTTTTTTTTTTCTTTCATATATATTTGCTAGAATTCTAAAGTAAAGATTGGGAAAATAATTATTTTTTAAAATATATTTTCAATTTATTTAGAAATGATCTTGGCTCTTGAATTAAACTGATTACTGCTTGTTATTCTTAAAATAATTATAAATTACGAAATTTAAATACCACAGAATGAAGAAAAAAATGAATGATTCCCAGATAAACCACTCATCATATTTTTAACAAGAAATATATTCTTTTATTTTGAGTCAATTGTTAGCAAAGTTGAAACAGCACAAGATCCATGACCAACTTGTACTGTACGAACTTAAAATAAACAAATAGCAAAATCAAATTTTAGTCTTATACAAAGATTAAAATGGGTAAAGTCAAGGAATTCTTGGTAATCAATATATGAGGCAAAGACAAACGAAAAATTTCAATTATTCATACTTTTTTCTTCATAAATGCTCTTCCCCCTTTTTTACAAACTATCCTACAATAATCATTGAAAGTGCCAATCAACTTAACTAAGTGATCAATAAATTTAGCTCCCTCCAAAACACTTTCCTAATTCATATATCAATTTTTTTCTTTTAATAACTATTTTTTCAAAGACAATAACCAAAAATTTCATTGTAATATCTGAATGTAACACTGATTCTTCTGACCAAATTTGCTTCAATCTTAGAAATTTTCCTTTAAAATTCTAAATAAGAAAATTAAACTAGGCAAGTTCTAGATTTTTTTAAAAATCTAAAATAAGAAAGAGCTGTTTAGCTGAACTAGTTGAATTTTTTAATACTAACTTTCCTCAATAGTATAGTTTAAGAACCCATTTATTTTACAGGGAGGATCTGGAAGCAGTATTTAAGGAGTGAATATGCACTATCTTAATAAATTCAAATTTGTCTTGAGACTTTAATGCAGTCAACAGTGATTACTTTTGTAAAAATTCACCGTAGTTTAACATATGTGTATCCAAATTTGCAAAAATGAGGTCCTTCAAAATAAAAACTCCATCTTGCTTACATTTAAGTTTACAATGATGGTAATTAACATTGAAATAAATCTCTATACAGTTAAGCGTATAATCAAATAACATTAGAAAAAACTTTAAATTTTGTTCCTTGCAATGTTTTCTAAATTTAGCTTTTTAAGTTTCATTAGAAACAGGTTTAGAGGTGTTTTAAAAAATATAACTTAAGTGAAAAGTAATCTGTCAATGCTATGATAATCAGCAGACTATGTTTCAGCAGTGTCTACATGTTTATACGTGTATGTACCCATGCAGAGCTCGCTGCCCTGATGAAGGGTTTCTGTTACCGGGGTTGACAGTAATAAATAAAAAAACAGATCAAATAGGACAAAATTTTTATTTAAAACCATACAGAATAATGACAAAAAAAAAATCTAAACACTTTGTGACATGATAAATAATAAGAGATTACAGAGAAAAATATTTAATACAGACACGGAAACCAAAATAGATATACTAAATATAGTAAAAAATGGCAGTGGTTTCAGCTTTAAACAAATAACTGATGTTAAACACAACATGTTAGCTGAAAACACAATGAGATATCATCATCTAGTTAAGCTTCAAATGCTATATTTTGAACTAATTTATCACGTTTATAAGGGAATAGCAATAATAGTTAATATTTGGATATCCAAAACTTTTTTGAATGAAATTTTAAGACAATAAAACTTTTCAAAAACTAATGATTCTTGAAAATAATAGAATTAAATAACTTGACACAAACATTTTAAATAAAAATCATTATTGTTGTTCAAAAAAGAATTTTCATCTAAGAAATTCTGATCAAGACAGTAACAAAAAAAGGAGAAAATATGGTAGAAGACAATTTTTCATAAATTTGGTTTATTCAGTACATATATTCAATGAAAAACCATTGAACCAGTTTATCAGAAGCTACCATGAAAACCTAATACTAAGAAAGAATAGGTTTCATTTTCAAAGTTGATTTCAAAACTTAAAAATGTCAGTTTAAACTCTTTTTTACATATAAAGATTCGATTTGAAGGTGTCTAAATGTTAACCCAAATATATGAGGGTAAAATCTTAAGTTAAAACACACTTTCACTATTCAATAAATTTTAATAGTTTTTTTATTTTTTTGTTCACATTCAGTTCTAGCCTATCCAGAAAAATGATAGTCGAATATGATAAACTCTAATAAGAAAAACTATACAAAAGGGAAAAAAATGTAAAAACAATTAAAAAAGAAGTAAATATGATATAAATGTACTATTTCAAAAAAATTAAATATTTATTTTTTTACAACAAATATTCATGTTATGAACAAATATCAGATCAGATTACAAGAAGTCCACAAATGCTATAAATATTAAAAGTAAAACACAAATAAAAATTTACATTTAAACCTTTAAAGAATTTACAACATTTAATGAAATAAGACTTTTTAATTCCTTTAATACTATGCTATAAATTTTCCATACTATGTTATAGTCTATTTGAACTAGAATTGTTCTTAAATCATGCAAAATATAGTTACACAAAACACAGGCATTTAACAGGACATAAATCAAAATAATTTAACCCCTTCACCAAAATAATAAAAAAAGTAACAGCATTTTCATGTGCTTATCAGTACATGTGCATAGACACTCAATAAAATTGTTTAAATAAAAAAAATTAAAAGGAATTCTCTGAAATAAATGATTTCTCTATATTTTCATATATATTATTATAAAGGGATATTTAAAAAAATTATGTAATTCAAAAAACGTTCATACACTGCAAAATGAGTTGTCTCAGAATAATGATAAAATTAATTATTAAGTACTTAACTTAATTATTAATTAAGTACTTAATTATTAACTTAAAATTAAAAACAGATAGTTTCAGAGTGCTGAATAATATTTCACAGATAACATTTATAACCTTTACTTGCAATTTCCCAGCATTAAAATGAGAGATAAAAAGTAAATTAAAAAATTAATAGGCTGATAAAAAAAACTATCTCAATTTTAAATGAAAGTAAAACTTTTGTATTAAACTTTATCATTAATTAAATTAACATACATGTTATTCAATATTTCAAAATGCAAAGTTTAATTTAAAAAATATATGTAGACAGAAAACTTGAAAACAAGGAAAGTTATAAATCTGGAAATCAATTATTTGCTCTTGATAACTTAATAAAAAAATTTTTAAAAAATATATTTTTTTTTATAAAAAAAAAAGAAGCTAATCAATTTAATAAATCTTTTTTTAATATTTTTTTATTTTTAGTGATTCGCAGATTTCCTCTAACAAGTAGCTCATTAGAAATTTTTTGTTATGTTCAACATTATCACATGACCAAGACAGAAAAAATAAATACATGTCCGGAGGAATATCTTGGGTTCATGAACAACATTTATAAGCAATCAGTATACCAAAAACAGTCATATTTATTTGTAAATGCTGATTAAATATGATGGCAATAGTATAAACAATATTTTCTGAACAGAGAAAATTAAAATGTATATTGCCATTTAGTCCGTACAAATCTCTTACTTGAGAAAATTACTTACCTTATAAAATAAATAGGTATGGCAAGAAAAAAATATTACAAAATAATTTTATTTTTTAAATTAGACCAACATATTTCTACAAAAACAAAATTAAGATGCACATTGAAGTGAACATAAATAAAGATTAAAAATACAACACATTTTTAGTGTAAAAAATGAAGAGTTTATGTCGAAGCAAAACAATCACATTTTTTTTTTGCTTTAGAAATTGAGTTAAGCATATTAATACAACAGCAACCTATAAAGCTATCAACTACAAAAATCTTTGAAGCGAAAATGGTTTTTAATACACAAAATGAGATGATGCAAATATACTAAGTGAAAGTGTGTTATGAAATTTTCTTAAATTTTATGAAAGTGAAAAGTGTGAGTTTTGTATTCGTACCCTTTCAATAAACGACATTTACTCATGTATTAAAAACCTAACTCTTGCATTAGAGAATTAAGCTATTGTAGAATAAAATATTATTTTAAAAAAAGACATCACACAAATATTAAAAGTCTAGCCTACGATGTATCAGTGGCAAAGAAACTAAAGACTAAAAATGCTATCTGAAAATAAAATATCAATAATGCCATTTAGTGCACACATATAAAGCTTAAGTAACAATCTTACTTTGGCAGTGAAAGATTTACCATGTATCTAACAAAAACTCTATCACTATCAAATTGGATGAATCTCGAGTTAAATGTGAAATATTATAAACTATTCTATTATTTATATTTGTATATAAAAAAAATAACTGTTGGTGAGATTCATTAACTTAAAAACAAACAAATTTCTAAATTCTGGAGCACACTCTTTTCATAATAAACTAAGAAAGCAAATAGAATTCATTAAAAAGATAGAATATCTGGAAATAAACATTCTCAAAAAGAAAAATCTGAATTATTTTCCCTAATATTATTACTCACTAACAATATAGGTTGGATTCTTAAAGAAGTATAAGCATTCAGAAACCCTGTTTGCCCTCAGGCAGCTCACCATCAACTTGAACAAACTAAACACCAAATTTTGAATGCATAAATCACCTAAAGATTATCTCAACGAACTTCCTTTATCATGTCACTTTCCTACATCCTGTTGTATAAAACTATGCAGATACGTTTTCTCATAATGTGTTTTGTACTGATACAGCACATTTATGATTAAGCTTTGGAGAGTTGATGACGGTCAGCATAAACCACAAGTCAATTAGCTTTTATAACATAATCACCGGTTTAATTTACAACAATAAAAATTTTTAAATCACAGCGAATTAAACAAATTATTGTATATCACATATTTCATGAAATTTTTTATAATCAGTTTCAATTCTTAAGAACATAAAAAATTCATGTATGGAAATAAAAGATTTCTCGACTTTAAAAACAGAACAATTCTAATACTTTCATTTAGTAACTTTAAATTGTTGAACTACAGTGACTGACAATCATCTACTATAGAACAGAATGCAGACATTGTGTGAATACTCCAACAGAATCAAACAGTGAGTGAATATAAAGACTACTCAAATAGTCTTTTCCTTAAATGTAGTAATATGAGAATTTAGTCATATAAAGGAATCCATCTGCTTTGTTACAATCTATCCATTAACAAAAATCTACAACATTATGATAAAAATAACAAGATTTTGAAATTTTTTAAATCTGCTTTTATTTATATTATTTTCTAAATTCAATAAATCTTAACTTTGACTTTCTGAGGCAGAATAACATTTTGAAGACATTTTTTAATCAGTCAACAATTTATATTTCTTAATTATAAACAATCACTTACAAGGAGTGATCAAATGAAAAGGTACGAAACGACGTAAAAACGTAACAGTTAAATATTTGCATATTCCGCCATGGGAGAATTTAGCGAGACATCTCGGGATGCGATTGGAGTCCCTGACTGGGATCGGAGCATGCGTGGGCGCCCGCATGCGCAGGAAAGAGCAGCGGCTCTTATCAAAAGCGGCATACAAACTATGCGGCAGTTCGTACGAGGACAGGATGTTGCTCACCATCTTTATCGACGTTCAAGGTCCGCTACTTATGGAATTCCTCGAGCACAGGAAAACCATTAACTCCAATGTGTACTGTGAGACATTCCGACGCCTACGCAAGTCCATCAAGAACAAAAGACCGGGGCTGCTCACGAAGGGTGTGGTTCTGCTCTATGGTAACGCGCGTCCACACGCCTCCAGAGTCACACACATAGAACTGGCCAAGTTCAAGTGGGAGACGTTGGACCATCCGCCCTACAGTCCGGACATATCGCCTTGCGCTTTCCATGTGTTTGGGCGACGTAAGAAACACCTGAAAGGGAAGCGCTTCAACTCGGACGACGTACTCAAGGTCGCTGTGAAGGACTGGGTCTCGTCACGGCCACAGGAATTCTGGGAACAAGGAATCCTGCTGTTTGTTCAGCAGTGGGGTCGTTGCATTCAGGCCTATGGTGCATATTTTGAATAAAGTCTACATTTGTACCCCACGTGTCGTTTCGTACCTTTACATTTGATCACCCCTTGTATTTTTAAAAGGATTCAAGGGCATGAAAATTTTATAACAATGAGATAGAATTAAAAAAGTAGAGAAAACATTTCTTTGTTCTTAACCAACAGTCATTTAGATTACAAATACAGATAGAGCAATATATAATAGTAAACCGTAGCTTCAATAAAATTGTGTACATCATAAAAAAGTAGTAATAAACATTGAAACATTATTCTTCGCACCAAGTTACATTATATTGACATAAATGAATAAAATCTATTTATGAAAGATTTACAAATATCTCATGAAACCCTAATTTAAAAATACCAAATTACCAACTTTATTTCAATCTTTTTATCTAAAAAAAAAAGTACATCTTCGTAAATAAAAAGAGAAAATCAAGCTTCACATGGAGCTTCAAGCATACTGATAAGAAAATTATCAATTGGTTGTTTCCCAATAAGCTTGTAGAAAAACAAGTGTTCAAGGCACTTCAGACCTATACTACGCAAGGCTGGCAGTCGTAAAAGTAGTTTTGAGAATCTAGAAGGTTGTTGTGGATGGTTTATGCGGCAATAATCATCCAGTGCAGTGTAAACTTTGTCACGTAAGTTATTGACTTCATTTGTTGATTTCAAGTTCTTTGCTTCTGAAAAAAGAAAAATGTAAATAATTATAAAATTAAAATAATATAACAATATAGAATTAAAAGAAACAGCATAATTGTATATCCAAAGACAATTCAATGCAATAAATTATTTTTAAAATGTTACATTACTTAATTCCTTTACTGATAGGCAAACAAATTTTGAATAGGACGGCATACAGATTTAATCTATGTCATTTTAAAAGACAAAAACCTAAAATTTTACATGATTTGATTGAATAATTCATGAGAAATAAAACGTAAAAATTCCTTGGAATAGATAAAAATTACTGCAAATGAAAAACAACAAATAATTTATTAAAATAATTTACTTGTTGGCACAGTAATCACTGCTTAATGTGACCATGATTAATGTTATCAATCACTTATTATTATCGAAACAATCAACAGTATGTTGAAATTATTGCTTTCTGTGATCATCCTAACAGCCAAAGAAACATTTACTGTGTGTTCAGAAGGAACCTATCCTTTTCTTTCTCTGTGTTATTGTTTGAATATCCCTATAGCTTCAACATTGCATTAAGCACATCAGAAATTTGCCAGATTGCTATGGGAATAAAGACGGGCGTCAGAACTGACAACTCAGATGATGTTAAACCATCTCCTACAAATGCTTAAATGAGGAGTGCAATTAAAGTGTTTGAATGTGATGAATACAGGGAAAGTGTCTGAACAAGAAGTATAATACCTTTTCAATTGCATAATACCTTTTCAATTGCATAATACCTTTTTAATTACGTAATAAACAGTACATCGATATTAGGTAATTTTTATTTTACTTTCAAACTTAGTATTAGGGTTTTTTTCAAATACTTTTTTTGGAGCCAGACTGTAGGCCAATCTCTATTTTTTTCATTCTCATATTTTAACATTGACATTAGTATAGGAAAAGCAACAAATGTTTCACAGTCTAGATACATTTCGTTTTTTGCAGAAAATATTAGTCTCAGAAGGTTCCTATTACATGTAAAAAAGTAACAATGGAGTACACTAACGTATTGAAGGTTTGTAGGGGTGGAGCATCGTCGTGCAGTTAAAATATGAAGTTCTAAATTCTTCCAAAATATTACTGTTCATAAGTCTAACGAACGTGAGGAGTGGCCTGGTATGTACGTGAAACTTTATTATTATTAGTTTTCTTTTTTTTTACATATTTTGTTGAGCATATATAGTTGAGAACAATGTGCGGTTTAAATTGTTAGATTTATTTGAAATTTGTTTATTGTAATCAACCGATTGATGTCATCAGATCCATAGTGTCCTAAAATAATCATATTAAGCGTAGACTAATACAGGGGGGATTGTGAGCCCAAGTCAAAATTCCGGAAAATTCATTGAGTTAAAAAAAAAAAAGTTTAATTGAAAAATTAGAAAAAAATTTAAACAAGGTTTTTTCCTTTTTCTCAATATTTCTTAGTTCACTTAAAAACATTTAAAATTTTACACATACCGATACCATTTACACATACCTGGAGAAGAAATTAAAATTTACAAACATGTCTTCCTTTCTTGAGTATATAATTATAACAACTATTTATGGATAAAAAATGAATATTAATCATGAATATGAGCTTATAAAGTATCTCTCTGGCTCTCCCTTACAAACAAATAAAATAGTGTTTTTAAGTTCCACTTTTGAAAATGATTACCGGAAACTTCTGTGATCAATGATTTTTTGAAACGTCTGGACCTTCGATCTCCGGAAACTTCCGGATCACTGTTTGCGAAAATTCCGGAAATCCGGATTTTTTCCGGAGCACAATCAGCCCTGCTAATACAAACATACAAAATTACTTAGTTTCTTAATAAAATGACCGTCTAATACTATTTTCACTTCTTGTTTTGATAAAAAATTGCTTTGTTTCTAATATTGATTTAACTTTTTCTAAGCAATTATTCCAGTGGATTTTAGTATAATATTTAAAATTGATCTCTTCAATACATGACTATTACCAAGTGTGAATTTTTGCATATTGGCTCTAGTTTAAAATTGACTTAGTTTTAAATTTAATAAAAAAATCTGATTCTTCTTTATGCGATTTCTTCATTAACCAAAATAAGATGCATAATATAATTTATTCATAATGTAAATTTATCATAATATAAAATTATTACAGTAGTTGCAGGGGTCTGTCCACACATTTTGTGAAAGGTCCGTTTTTGTAAAATTGTGAAAAAATTACTCATTATTTGTGAATATAAAATAAACGTTAAGTCACATTCTTTCAACCAGGGTCCTGCTTTTATGAATTTGTGCAAATAGGGTCTTTATTGNAAATAATTTACTTGTTGGCACAGTAATCACTGCTTAATGTGACCATGATTAATGTTATCAATCACTTATTATTATCGAAACAATCAACAGTATGTTGAAATTATTGCTTTCTGTGATCAGTACATCATTTAATGTTTCATTATCAGTATTTTCATTTTTTCCTTTCGAAAATCATCCTAACAGCCAAAGAAACATTTACTGTGTGTTCAGAAGGAACCTATCCTTTTCTTTCTCTGTGTTATTGTTTGAATATCCCTATAGCTTCAACATTGCATTAAACACATCAGAAATTTGCCAGATTGCTATGGGAATAAAGACAGGCGTTAGAACTGACAACTCAGATGATACTAAACCATCTCTGACAAATGCTTAAATGAGGAGTGCAATTAAAGTGTTTGAATGTGATGAATACAGTGAAAGTGTCTGAACAAAAAGTATAATTTCAATAGCATAATACCTTTTTAATTACGTAATATACAGTACATCGATATTAGGTAATTTTTATTTTACTTTCAAACTTAGTATTAGGGCTTTTTTCAAAAAAAAAATTTTTTTTTTTGGAGCCAGACTCTAGGCCGATCTCTATTTTTTTCATTCTCATATTTTAACATTGACATTAGTATAGGAAAAGCAACAAATGTTTCACAGTCTAGATACATTTTGTTTCTTGCAGAAAATTTTAGTCTCAGGAAGTTTCTATTACATGTAAAAAAGTAACAATGGAGTACACTAATGTATTGAAGGTTTGTAGGGGTGGAGCATCCTCGTGCAGTTAAAATATGAAGTTCTAAATTCTTCCAGAATATTACTGTTCATAAGCCTAACGAACGTGAGGAGTGGCCTGGTATGTATGTGAAACTTTATTATTATTATTTTTTTTTTTTTTACCTATTTTGTTGAGCATATATAGTTAAGAACAATGTGTGGCTTAAATTGTTAGATTTATTTAATTTTGAGATTTGTTTATTGTAATCAACCGATTGATGTCATCAGATTCATAGTGTCCTAAAATAATCATATTAAGCGTAGACTAATACAATCATACAAAATTACTTAGTTTCTTAATAAAATCACCGTCTAATATTAATTTCACTTCTTGTTTCGATAAAAAATTGCTTTGTTTCTAATATTGATTTAACTTTTTCTAAGCAATTATTCCAGTGGATTTTAGCATAATATTTAAAATTGATCTCTTTAATACATGATTATTACCAAGTGTTAATTTTTGCATATTGGCTCTAGTTTAAAATTAGCTTAGTTTTAAATTTAATAAAAAAATCTGATTCTTCTTTATGCAATTTCTTCATTAACCAAAATAAGATGGATAATATAATTAATTCATAATGTAAATTTATCATAATATAAATTTATTACAGTAGTTGCAGGGGTCTGTCCACACATTTTGTGAAAGGTCCATTTTTGTAAAATTGTGAAAAAATTACTCATTATTTGTGAATATAAAATAAACGTTAAGTCACATTTTTTCAACCAGGGTCCTGCTTTTATGAATTTGTGCAAATAGGGTCTTTATTGAAGAAAAACTTTTTCAAGGAGTTTTTAAATTGTAAATAGATACAAGATTATGCTCAACACTGTAAAATTATAATTTAAAAAAATTAAATTTTCAAAAATAAACAGCAATTGCTGCTTCTAAATTAGCGATGCAACATACAAATATTTGGTATTTAGCTTATACTGCTAAACGCAGAATATTCATTTCGGACATTCATTCGTCTGCTGAAGACAAAACTTAATTCGTTTACATCCATCTTTATTTCTTTACCATTGGGAAGGGTTTATTTGATTAACAAAACAATAATGAAGATAAACAAATTAGTGAAGGGTCAGATTAAAAGAAAAATCATTTTGTGAAGGGTCTGTTAAAGGACACAAATTTCCTCTAAACAAAGAAACAAGAATGTTAAAATGACAAAATATTTGTTTTACCTGGATTGTAAAGAATGATGGCTTTTAGGCAAGCAAGTTCTGCTTTGTCCATTTTCATTTCTCTCATTTTCATCACTAGTTCAGTGAGAAGTCTGTCAAAGGTGCTACCAACACCAGCACTATGAGCAGCATTACGTTGAACGATGTGGCCAGAAGCTAAAACTATTCCATCCTTTACATTAACAGATTTATGACAAAAAGAGGCAATAAGGAGCTCATTCCATCCTATAAGTAATTTTTAAAAAAATGAAGCAAATTAATAATTTTGGCATTGTACTATTATTGTACAACGAAGAAACAACTAGTAGAAACTTGTATGACATGTTTGCTAAGAAAATTAATAAACTATTACAATTTACAAAATGTACAGTATTTTATAAAGCATGTATAAATGATTTAAGAACACGAATGTAAGATAAAAAAAATTACCAGCTTTCAATAGTACAATCTTATCATCAAGGGGTAGGCTGTTAAAATGTGGTATATGCTTCGCCCAATCAACAAGCTGGAACATCTGTTGATCTGCAGCCTGGCAAAGGCTTGAAGAGTCCTGAATGAAGAAGAAAAAAAGAATATTACAAAATTTTGCTTTAATAGTTAGGTTATACTGTGCTAAACTTTATAACAAAATTATGAATTCAAAATAATAAAATCAAATTGTCTTATGATCATGCATGAAATTCTTATTAAAAAAAAGGCAAGTGAAATCAAATGAACTACATATATAAGAGAAGTTTCAAAAATAAATAAAAATATATATGAAAAATCAAAAAAAAGTTTTATAAACTTTAGAAAATATGTTTGATATCACTTATAGATCAAATGCTAAAAAAATATATCATGCATATATCAAAAAAATATATCATATAACATTTTAATTGCTAAAAAATGTTCTGGGAATAAAATAACAGAATGGAATGTTAGCAAAATTGAATTTTAATAAAACTGGCAAAAATTACTACGAAAAGTAAGAACAGATACTGTTAAAATAAGTACGTAAAAACTTAGGAAACAAAATTAGCCTTTTTTTTGTAAATCCATGAATTTAAAATTTATATTTTAATTTTTTTACACATTTTGAAAAAGTCAATAATTAAAAAATAATTCTATCAATGTGGTTGTTTTACATCATCCGCAGAAATGCAACAAAAATTAAAAAACCATTAAAAAAAATGGTGAAATATGGATTAATCAACATCAATGAATATGGGGAAGAATTTCATCTATGTAATAGACTAAGCATAAAAGAGAGAGAAAGAAAAAATGCATAGCACTTTTTCTATATGAACTTAGATAATAGGTTAGTAACAGATTATTATAGAATTAAAAAAAAATATTAAATATACCTATATTGAATATACAGATATAAAATATAACCTACTAATATAAATAAATATGAATAGGAAATAAAAAAAACTATTAAATTTGTCAATATTTGATGTTTTTAAAAGACAAATAGAAATATACTTCAGATTAAATCCAAAAAATAATTAAACTTTAAATTCCAGAATTCTACTTTAATCAGTTAGTTAGTTAAAACAAAGTAATTCTGCTATATCTAACAATAAAACAAATAAATTAATCCAATAGTATAATTTAATTTAAGTTAAAATAGAGATAAATGAATTTGGTCTATTATGATTTTTATGAAGGACTCAAGTCACATTTACTAAAAAAAAATCTCATAATTTGTCTTATATTTTGATTTCATAATAAAAATTATTAAATTTAAAGTTCAATTATCTTTTGGATGAACAACTTTAAACACAATAATAAATTTTTCAGGCAAGCATTAGTAAAATTTAAAAAAAATATAACTGAACCTAAGTCATTGAAGATAACAAAAAATAATGATTATCATTCCAGTAACTATGCCAAGAGCCGTGATTGCTCAAGGAATAGAGCGCTAACTTTCCAATGAGATGAACCAGGTTTGAACCCCAGCGGTTGATTAGTCAATTCAAATTCAACACCTGGCTCGCACTGACCACAGTGCTGATGCTAAATATCCTCACTGGTAGATGGATCATGGGTTAGAGTCCCATTTCCGTCAGGCTAACTGTGAGAGGTTTTCTGAGTTTTCCTCTATAAGCAATGCAACTGTTGGTTAGTTCCATCAAAAAATCCCTCATGAAGGGAAATTTCTGCCAATACTTGACAAAGTCAGTTACCTTGTTTTTTGGGTTAGGTTTGAAATTACAAGGTTACGGAGTAGAACATTTGAAGTCATAAACCCAAAAATGGGTCAACTGTTCAACGACGGCTAAAAAAATAAAATAACTATGCTAAAATGATGTCCTCAAACAGACAACAGAAATCAAGTGAAATAGTCTTTTTCTTGATTTGATTTGATATGATTTTCTTTTTGTTACTTAATTTTAAACTTTATTTTAAAAATGAATTCTAAACAGTAATCTTTTTTTATGCATATCTATTTTATGTATATTTTATTAGGTATATTTTTTATCATGTATATCTGGTAATGAAGTAAAGTTCAAATCATGTACAACAACTTTAAACCAAATGAATGAAAGGGATATAGATAATCCATGATAAATTTCATGTTCTACATGAGATTGAATGTAAAATAGTAATATCTTTCACATAGAAGATAAAAATTGATATAGAATTAAAAAAATATATAAAAGAACAAAGAAATAATAAGAGATAATAGTAAAATAAAATGAATATGATGATTCTAAGTTAAAATTCTTTAATTCAATGAAAGAGAATAATAGCAAATTAGTTCAACTATTATTGCAATAAAAGCAAATACAATAGCAATTTTTTAATCTCCTATCTTTATCAAAATTTTTAATTTTTGTAATAATTTTGATAAAGATATTAATTTTTAATTTTTGTAATAAGTGGCTGGGTGGCGCAGTTGGTTTGTCGTCGGCCTTCTGAGCCCAAGTCTGCGGGTTCGATCCCCGGCGCAGACACCGGATTTTCGGGATGCAGAAAATCCTCAGCGGCCATGTCGTATGATTATGCAGCATGTTAAAGATCCCTGGAGTGCCTCATTGGCTCTTGGCATTTCCGGCAAAATTAAATTCCTAGAGCACTTTAGCACCCAAATAGAGTCTCGGTGCTGCCATCTAGTGTGGCAGAAACTAGACGTCCAAATTAACATGACCAACGGTATCTCACCCATTGTGGTGGTCCTGAAAGAGTGGATACCACCTCTGGAGAACGCACTAGGTCTGCTCATCGGCAAGACCGATTGTGCAGCACATTGGAAATAAAAAAAAAATTTTAATACATTTTAAATCCTCTAATGAAGACCTCTATTTTATTTTATTATTTTGATGCACTTTTAAAAAATATAATTTTTTTCATTATAATTAGAACAGTACAAAAGATTCAGATGATAAAAAATATTCAGAAAGAACATAAATTTTGACTAGCTTAAAATTTAAAAATCAACTCTTATAATTATTTATATAGATAAGTTAGGCAATCAACTACTTGTTTATAATAACTTATTGAATTTTTTTATAAGAGTTTACATTTATTCATGTATTTCAGTTGAGTATACCTGCTCTTTTTTAGGTTCCATCCACAAATCAGCTTCCAACAATCGTTCAATACTAATATCAGGCTGAATGTTACTGGTGCTTTCTACTTCATTTTCACTCCTTTCCTTATTTCTCTGACGCTCTTCTTGCACAGCTATTTAATCAAAACAAAATATTACGAGCTCACTCTATTAATAAACAACTTAAAAAATGAAACTGCTTCCTTCTGTTTATTTAAAGATGACATTTGAAGAAGCACTTATATTTCAGCAAGTTTTAGCATATATAAAAATTAGATTAATCAACATAAAAAATTTAGCCATTTTTTAATAACAGAGAAATAATAGTTGCTAAATAATAGTAATATGAATTGAATTGAAATTTTGTTGTTGTTGTTTTTTTGAGTTAAGCATAGAGGTGTGAATACAGTATGCTGAAAGTTTTATAAGTAGTAAGAAAGTCCCAAAAAATTTCTTTGGTGAATTTGACAGGAGCCGGATACATATTACTGATTTAATTACCATCAAGATAATTTTTTGTCAATAATGTGACCGTCAGAGATTAGGAGCAACAATTGGGATTTCAAATTTTTGTCAATTGTGCTAAATGCAAGAGCACATCACAAGCTAGCTCAGATCTTTAGTTTTAATTGTTAAGAAAGTACAAAGATGCTTTTAGCAGGAAATTTAAATTTGTATAAGATTTTCATATTCTTAAATTATATTATTTTTAAAGCTTAAGATTATGTAATTCTATTAATACACAAACATTGCATTGAATAATGAAATAAAACTACAGTTAAAAAAAAAAATGATGTTTTACAACAATAAAAGCAATTTAGCTATTTTAAGAAAAGTTGAAGTAAATTACGTATATAGTTTCATTCTTTTCAAAGATGCGTAAAAAATGGCATAAAGTAAAATAGGCATTACAAGGTTTTCCAGTTAGGCTAAGCCATTAAAAATGAAAACTTCATAGGAAATTATTGCAGCATAAAGTGAATACCACTATTAAGAACATTATTCAAAGTTTGAAAAGGTTGCTAACGTAAAATGACTGTGATTATTTATTGTATTGAACTAAGTAAGAACTTTCTTTTGAAGCCAATAAATTACTAAAAAAAGATAAATAAATAAAAACCTGTTAAAAATTCCGAAAAAACCGATTTTGTCAATTGATAGAATTATTTCCTTACAATTGAATATTTATTGAATTTGTTTATTTAATATTAATAGTTAGACTTTAAAATTATAGTTTGATTCTAAGTATCTCTTCCAGCCATCATTGCTATTATTGAAACTTATCTTGGTTAAAAACAATTTATAGGATTGAACATTGAAATGGTCTAAGTTTAATTAAAACTATCACTTTATGTAATGGGTAATTTTCAGAAAATTTATCATTTTTAAAATTGAAATCGAAAAAGTTACCTTCACGTTTCATTCCCATGGCTAAACATTTCTGATATCTGCAGTATTGACAGCGGTTACGTTGCCTTTTATCGATGATACAGTTACGGTCTTCCCTGCAAGCATAGGTCAAATCTTTCCGGACTGTCCTCTTAAAAAAGCCTTTGCACCCTTCACAACTGTAGACACCATAATGCTTTCCAGAAGCTCTGTCTCCACAAATAGAACATAAATGCTTGGAACCGCTCAAGGGATGGTTTGCAGGATATTGCGGAGATGGGGGATTTGGTGATGGCTAAACAATAATATTAAATAAATTACTCAAGGTGCATTCTTCTAAAACCAAAAACACTGTCTTTTATTTTAACTTAATTCATAGCAAATATAAGACAAAAAGTAACTCTTTTAAATAAATAATCAGAAGAAAAAGAGGAAGAATAAATTTTAGAATGTAAAAACTTGATCTCTTTCACAAATTATAAAGGTGGAAAGACATATTAAAAGCACTCAAAAACAGGTATCCATTCCAAAGATTCACCAAGCCTACATGAGGAAAACAAAACAAATTTGAAACAGAAAATTCATTTGTTTTTATAATATTAAAATTTAGTTTTGATATATAATATTTAAATTTAGTTTTGAGTATGGTTGTATGATTTTTCTCACAAAATAGGAAGTGAAAAATAAAATAAGGCTAAGAATTATAAGCCTAATCTTATAATAAATATCTAATTAAATAGTTTGGATATAATTTTTTTTCCTTCAATTTATACCCATTTGAAAATGTTGCTTATACATTGAACCACTCAGCTGTTCCCATACTTGAACCAAGAAAACAAGGAAATGGTGTGCAAAACAAGTCAAGAAAAAATAGCATGGCAGTCAAAAACTAGACAGAAGCACACAAATGGAATATTCTACAAAATCTAATCTATTATTACAAGGTGTGGGGAGCGGATGCTATCGACTATGCCAACCGTCATCTATCAAAAGGTACCTCGTGATTGAATCAAGTTAGCATGTCTTATATACCAGTGAATTGATGTTTAATTTTCATAGTGGTAGTTACGCCACAATACTCCCCCACCAGAATTTCATCAGGGATATAATTCGATGAACAGATCTCACTAGTTGCTGTACTTGTGAAAGACCGGGAGAGAGAGTCACCGGAGTTTTGAGTGTTGAATGAATGTGAGAGGTGTATTAACTTCACAGTAGTGGTTGCTCCTGTGTTGCCTTTAGCAGTCGAGTGTGTGCTGGCCGACGTTGTGTGTATGTTTGAGACGAGACTGAGCAGCAACAGCGCAGGAGAGTGAATGTTGCTTTCACAAATTAGCAAGTCAACCGTACAATGTGGACTATCCATCGAAGTAGGCGTAACCGTTGAGAGATTGCGAAGTGGGCGTTACTTGCGTGATCAAATCACGTCCGAAGGTCACCAATGTGGGGGCGGAGTTATCGACTATGCCAACCGTCATCTATCAAAAGGTACCTCGTGATTGAATCAAGTTAGCATGTCTTACATACCAGAGAATTGATGTTTAATTTTCATAGTGGTAGTTACGCCACACAAGGTATAAATCCTTATGACATGACTTCAACTAGTTTTTATCAATGACACATTTAGTTCTTATGAAGAATTACAAAAAAAATTTTTCTTCTTGACTCAGTTGTTTTCTTAACATAGAACTTATATATTGCAGCAAAATAGGAAAAAGTAGTAACTTGCGATGAAAAATATTTTAAATGTTATTACCTTTACTTCATTATATCCAAATTTTCAGAAAAAAAAAACTTTAAAACTTATTTGTAGGTATAAAATATAAAAATTTTTTAAAGAGGATTTAAAGAAATAAAATATTAATCTAAAATTTAACATAACAGATATTGTAAAATGATACAGAAAAACATACTGATGAAAGTTGGACATAACTGTTTCCATGAATACTTGAAAATGCAGAATTAGCAAAACTACTAGAAACCGTTGATGATATGCCAGATGATGATAAGGTGCCATTGCCTAATGCAGCAGAATTTAGAGTGTTTACAGCACTTGATTCTAGTAAAAAGGGGAAAAAACATTTATCCAAAAATTTCATGAATCAAATTTATACAAATCAAATTTAAAATTAGAACCTGCAAACGTTACGAATTGTAAAATAAAAAAATCAGGTGGTAGGTAGAACTTAAAAGCAGTACCTATTTGTTTTAAGTCTTCTATATTTACAAAACATAAAATTTGTAGGTGAATTACCTATTGACATTGCTCATTTTTTCTAGTCAGCTTTTACTTAGATTAGATTTTCTAAATTAATATGCTTTAACACCAATGTTATTTGAAAATGTGAAAAGAAATAAAAATTTTAAAAAGAAAAAAAAAACATAGGTAATTTTAAATTTGGGAAACAAGATTATTTAGCAAAAGATATACTAAGGTTAAGTTAGATTAATCGCTAAGGCAACAGAATGCTAATATCCAGATCTTTCGCTTGAAATAAGTTTTACTCTCCCAGTTAATCTCTATCTGCAATATTTTTATAAAAATTCTTCCTGAGTCTCAGATTAATGCAAAAAAGCAGCCACTATATTAAAACATGTACCGATATAGAAACCTTAACAAACTTATAGCAAAATCTAAAAATTTATTTTCAATTCTCATTGGAAAAGTAATGAATGTTTTAAAAAAAATAACATTGTAAGTAAAATTATAAGCTGAAACTTGATAAACACAAGGAGATCTCAAACTTTTTAAAAATTAAATTTAACTCAGGAATGCGACAGCCATGGCGGGTCCAGGCCTAATCTTGAGATTTTAAGTTCTAGGGGTACACGAGCAGATGTCCCCGTTGAGTGGTCAGCCAAATGCAGAACCACCAGTGTTTAGTCTTCAAGTATGCTTAGTACTCATTTTATCAATCCACTGACGGCTGAGTTGACCTTGCACAGTAAGAGGATTGAACACCAGACCTGTAGGAAGTTGACCTTGCACAGTAAGAGGATTGAACACCAGACCTGTAGGAAGAGAGCGCAAAGCGCTACCACTTGGCAAAAGGACTTTCAAAATTTTTAAACTCGAAGAACAAAAAAACTTTAATAACCAATATTTTCAATACAAAATGCGAAAAATTAACTGATGCAGTATGGATTTATATACAAGCCTTAATGCTGTTTTACATGTATATAAACAACTGCCAATCAAAATATTTACATGAAGTATAATATTATCAATCATTATGTATATTACAAATAAATATACACAATTAATAGAGAAAAATTAATCTCAAAACCTCATAACTTATGAATTGTGAGGAAAAAGCTTACCTGGGAAGAATTCCGAAGAATCATCGTCCGAAAAGTCAGCCACTAATTAAAAAAATTCATACATTATTATAATAGATTTTTTATTCAACAACTAAAAGTGAAGATAGAATTAAGCATACATCAAAATATTAATTGACAGATTAGGTAAGCTCTGTGAAGTATTAAGTAATATGTTATCAAATTGAACAACTATTTGTAATGGAAAACATTATACAGTATTGTGTTTTTAGTATTTTTTTATTCAATTAAGATTAAAATCCTATTATTTGCCTAACTTGTTGGTACAAATTATAACAGTTCATTTTGCTAAGAATTACTATTATTGAAAAATAAAATTTTTACTAAGAACGAATCATAATATATAACTCTGAACTGTTAAAAAAGTCCACAGTTGAACAGGGGAGATTTCCGTATTGTGTATTCCGTATTTCCGTACAGTGGCAGAATAATCACTAAGTTTTGGCATCCTCCGAGAAGAGCCCTAAAAAACTTAGAAAAGAAAATCAGAGAAAGGGACCAACATGAAGCATATAGCTTGTAGCCATCCTTCGCCAAACATCTACATGTTTTTTGTTTTCTATTTTTCTGTCTAAAAGCGATTCGGCTTGGCTACCTTGGCGATTGTAGTTGGCATGACAGATGTTACACTAATAACCCTGTCAAACAAATGCATACAACTTGAAAGTTGAAGATGAAAATATTTTGAGAACAAACCACTGGCTCTGTGGTACAATCTGTTTTTAATACACAACTCACAATGAGTAAAGTAATTTTTTGAACATAACTTTAAATTACAGAAAAAATTTCAAAACAAAAATATTCCTATAGAAAACCTTAGTTCATTATTCTCTTTTGTTTTCAAACTACATTTTCCCAAGAACTTTTAAAACATTTTTTAAATTAAATAATTATTAACAAACACTTTTTTAATTTTCAAATAAACTAATTTTGTTTTTACTATATCTAAAAGGATAAAATGGGATTCCAGAATATATGAAACACTGCATTAAGAATTAACAATGGAGAGAAATTTTGGGGGTAAATATAAATAACAGATATAAAAAAGAAGAATAATTGTTTCAAAGATATTTGCATCTCACAGATATCAATATAAAAGTAGACAGAATCGTACAATGTAATAATTTAGCTTCAAAAGATATAGAATTAAAAAAATCATATGGCTATCATCACAAAAATCATAACAATGGCTGAAATTTAAAGTGGATCCTTTTCAATTAAGAAACAAAAGCTTAAGATTAATAAATAAATCTCACTCATTTTTTCTCCTCTTTCAAATGAGGAAACAGCTTTCACAAATTCTCAATTAAATCGATTTTTCACAACAAGAATAATCTCAAACATACGCCATCTTAGTGAAGCTTTTCTTTTATCTTAGTTTACCTGTACAAAGGGCATCAACCCGTAATCGAGAGCAAGAGGTTAAAATTTCAAATAAAAAATTAGGAGTAAAAGGCCGAAAGTATATTTTTTGTATTTAAAAATTTTAAGTAGCATTTAAATAATAATAAAAGCAGTAATTAAGCGAGATATCTCGTTTGCTACCAATTTTTCGAAATTTGTGATGCAAGCGACAAGATCATTCACCTTTCTGATATATTTAAAATCAATATATAGGCACATATATAATAATGATAGATAAGTCAAACAATAAAACTCAATACTTCTCTCCATCTCTGTGAAGGAATTGCGGCAAATACTAAACTGGTCACGTTGTTTGTTATGATATTAATATTAAATACAATAAAAATAGGACAGGAATACGACAACAAAAAAAAACAAAGAAACCATCTGTCAAAGTTTCTGTTGCCAAATTAAAAGTAAAGAATTTTCTCGTTAAATTAGTTATATTTTCACTATCCACTGCATTTTCAGCAATATTTTGAATTGATTTGGACCAATAGTTAATAAGAACGCAGTTATTGAACTGCTTATAAAGTTTTAGTGCAAATAAGGCGCTTGAATTTTTATTGATATTTGGTCAATTTAGGAATTGGTAACTGGGCGGAGTGAGCTTGACGCTAGCTTTTATCCATCAATCTTCTTATAACCCTATATTGATTGTGTGACCAAACTTTTTCGCCAAAGCAATTGGCGTTGTTTATACAAAAGCTATTGTTAGAGGAAGCCATTTTCTGTATTTGGCTGCGCGGGATTTCATATTTTATCATCATGAAAGTTTTAATTACAGGTAATTCTTATTAATTAAAGATTTATAATATTAGTGTACATTTCATAGCAGTATATTAAAAAATTACATGAAATTTTTAAAAAGATTAATGAATTTTATTAAATATCTGTGAATACCACGCGTTAGATTTTAAAGTAAATAGTTTGTAAAATGTATGTATTTTAAGAAAATCGTTATAAAAATTCATTTATCAAAGTTTTTCTCTGCTTCCTTAGAAATCCTTTGTTTGATCTGCCGAAATTGTGTGAAGCAGTTTAGTAATGAAATTTCATTTAGTTGAATTACTTGATTTATGTTTATTTTAGTGACATAATACAGAGGTATCTTTTTTTTCTATGAAATATATTGCTAATTAAAATTTATTTTATATAGAAAGATTAATATTGAATTTTCTTAAAAATAGTGAAGAGGGTTTTGATCATGTCTAAAATAATTTGTTTCAATTTTATTGTAAACTAATCTAAAAAAAAATTCTGAGAGAAATGGAACAAATTTAGATAATATTTATCATTTTCATTCACAGTTACTGCATTCATTATTATTCTTTTAGGTTGTCTTAACTATTGAATAAATTATGAGCATGCATACTTTCAAAAAAANTTTCTCTTGCCATAGTTTTATTAACTAGCGATAATTTTATTTTATTAAAACTGCGGGTTACAAATTCATTTATAAAATGTTAGAAGTAGAAACACTTTTAATGTCGAATAAACATAATATATAAACACTTAAACATCAATTTGAACTTTACTCCAGAATTATTTTTTATGTTACAATTATAATGCTTAATAATTAAGTACAAATGTTAGGAAATATGCATAGGATGATTAGACATTACATGGCATAATTATTCTTTTAATTTAGATCCGAATTTTCTTTTCCTTACAACAGAACGTAAGAAAATTATATAAATATTGCAGCTAAGCTTTTAAAAGAGAATACTTAATTTAAAAGTAATTAAGAGCACCCGTTAACATACTCTTAATATCAAAATGACATACTTTTATTTAAAAACAAATAATAAACATAGCAAAGAAAACATTCATTTTTATTGTTACATTTATAAATATCTAAAAATTCGAAAACATTTTCGCCTAATTTCTTTTTTAAACACAAATCTCCTCTTTTCCAGTGGCTGTTTACGAAATAAATGTAAACACAATCCATCAATGAACCAATTGTTTCATCACACCAAGTACGAGATTACGCGAGAACACAGACAGGCGTGCACAAAATTATTGAAATTTTTATTTTAATTCACAATAAACGCGATAACTTCCCAAATTCTTGCAACCTAGAGTGATAGTCAACAGCCAATCACAATGCGAAAAGCCCATTGATCCAATGTTATCATTTCCTTGTTGCCATTCTGTAGTAGAAACTATGGTTTAAAATTAGTTACCAATTCCTTAAAAGATAGAGACCCATTTTTATTTTGACCAATAGGACCTTTTAGCGTGACGTTCTGACTAAAGGTTTATTCTCACTAAAGCTCGTCTATAGTGAGAACCGTCCGTCATTATGGAGTTAATATTAGCAAGTGTTAATATTAGTGTTAATATTAGCAAGTTTGATGCCCATTTAGATGCTTAAAACTATTGATATAATAATTGTGAAGCGATGAATCGGGCAATCAGTTAAAAAAAAAAGGCTTTCTAATGTTAAAATTTTAATCTGATCTCGAAAGAAGAAGAAATAGGTATTAAATCGCAGAAAATATAATTAGCAGCCAGTAAGTGGAGTACGCTTATGCGAGGCAAATACTCATTTATTCATAATTTGTGGAATTTATTTACTTATATATGTAGTATATGACCAATCTTAAGTTGTCAAAAATTGTTTCTGGATGCTTGTTTTTGTCTGTTTCTTCAAAAATAAATAAGCTAATAACTTTTTGCTGTTACTTGAGTTGTTCAGTTCTTACTACATCAAATCTATATATCTGTATACATCAAATATAAGAATTTTAATTGAAAATTGCTTTTATTAAGTAAATATTTATTTAAAATATGACCTTTAAACTACATTTAACAATTTATTTAACAATTTTGAGTATTTGAGTGATATAAAATCATGTAAATAAAAGTAGGAGATTGGCTGAATAAGTGTTTGCCAAACTCATCTCAATGGTGAGTATAAAACAAATTATCGAGTTTATATATATACCAAAATATACTCGATAATTGGCTTTTTTTTAAAAAAAAATATAAAATATTTTAGAAACAAAATTTGCTAAGATTGAAAAATTTCAAAAATCACATTTTTTAAAATTATTTCTGAGAAATTGTACTAAGAAAGAAAAATGCTTGATTAAGAAATATGCTTTAGTTATTTTTTAATATGTTGCTTGACATTAGAACTCTTAAAAGCACATAATTTTTGTAAAGTATAAAATTCCAAATTGAAGGGGGAAAATAAAATAATTTATTTTTCCATTTTGAGATTTCTTTAATAAATATTAGCCAAGCACTTTTAAAGATAATTTGTTATATTCATAAGTTATTATTATACTAGCCCTTTTTGGCTTCATTTAAATATTATTTCAGATTATTCTAATAAATGCGATTAATTCTAAATCAGAATTGTTTACAAATTTGTGCAGAATTGAAGAAAAAAAAACTTTAATTTTGCATAATTTATTTACATGCACAGTGGGGAAAAAAACGAAAATGGACTACCCTGTATAACTTTTGATCTAATGATCAGACTTTCATGTTCTAGGACTCAATCTTAATGGCTCGATGGGGTGATTTCAAATATACTAATTATTAAAAGTGTAGACGATATTTTAAGTTACGAAATCAGACACAGAAACGTACTTTCCTTGAATAAATATACCTGTTTTTCTATGAATTCGGATTTCTGACCCCAAAAATATACGGGGTAACCGCAGTCGTTGAAATATAGTTCCAATAGTTTTCGAACTTTCAAAGCGAATTTAAAAATTTTGACACACAATTAAAATATTGGTTAATCCAAATATAAGTCCATGCAAAAATGACTTTCAGTAAACATTTATTATTTTATTTGCAAACTTGAACTGTAAGGTATACAATTTTTTGCATCTTTTTAAAAAATGTACTTTTATTTAACAAAATACAAAATTTGAGCAAAATAGTTCCTTCGGTCGAATAGTTCGTGGGAAATCGAATTTTAAGCATCTTACTTTTTTGAAATACAATTACTCAGGAACTATGCGATCGATTTTGCTCAAATTTTTTATTTTTCTATATAAAATCCCATTCTTTAAAACTATTCTGAAAAAAAATTGTAAAATTCGAAAAATATCTAATCAAGTATGATTTATTGATTTACATGATTTACAAATTCCGAAAAAGACAAAATAAGTAAATAACATTAGAAATAATAACTTAAATATCTTACATTTTATATACGACATTTGTACATATCTTATATTTTTTTTCGTTTTCTGCTTGAATAGCATTTCTGACTTTCTACAGTAAAAGATTTATCTGAGCCATTTATTCAGATAAAACGATTTTAGCATAAATATAATATTATTATAATGTCTCTCTAAAATGTATTTATAGAGATTTCATACTATAAGATAATATTTTAGTGTAAAAAACAAAAATAAGAAATATTTAATCGAAGTTCGTAAATTGAAAAAATCGGGAAAAATTTAAAATTGGTATTTTGTCATTTAAAGTATGTCACAACGAAAAAATTTCATGTTCATGATTTTTTCTTGCTTTTTTAGGGCGTAAAAAAGAAGAAAATTCACGTAGAAATAGCATGCACCNATGCCCCCCCCCCCCCCCAAATATTTTTTTTGGCCTCCTAATTGGCGTGGCGTTTATTTGTAGAATTGCTCACGTATCGTAATTTGTAACAAAAACATTTAAAAAAAATATTTGAAAAAAGGAAAGATAGTTTGTTTTTAGAAAAACTAACGACATTTTCTTTTGTTTTGTTTAAAATATTTAAAATTGAAAAATAAAATGAAAAGATACGAAAGTTAAGGAAAAGAAAAATAGAAAATGCAGTTTTTTTTACTGTCAAAATAGTCTCAGAATTTTTTCTGTTTCATTCCGAGTATTTAAATTAAGAAGCTTTTAACAAAATGCTACTATGTAAATTAGCAAGTTTTTTTTTAAATTTTTATTTCGTGTGTTGAACTTTTTTACTAAATGTTATATATTGGTTTGATACTTAATTTAATTTTAATGGCATTAACCCTTTCGCGCCGACTGTCAGAAATACGTACCAGCATAAAACCGTATTAATCAGGGTAAAAAGATAAAACTGGTAACCAAAGTAATTCTAATAGGTAGTAATGGTAGTAATAGGTAGTAATAACCAAAGTAGTAATAATAGGCGGAGTTATAATTGTTTGATTTATTTAATTCACCATTGCTTTGTTCAAAATAAAACTATTTAGTTATACTTTGAATTAACATTGATTATTATATAAATGATTAAACTAACAATAATTAAAGTAAAAGCCTGTCAAATTAGTAACGACTACATTTAAGTTACTGTTTTTTATTTAATTGCAACTTGATTCTGATTTTGTACGAATGCTTTTCTGAATCACACGTCCCCAAGGGGTTAAGTGACTTATTTTATCCATCTCAATACATAGTTTAAAGTAGAATAGTTATAAAT